ATCCCCAACAAGTTTTCCGTGGAGTCCATTCAGTTGAACATAGTCATGGTACGTAAATATATGTATAATGAATACACTTTCATATGTCCATACCTTATGTATTATACAGCATACAATAGATATGCCAATAATATATATTCATATGCAAATGTGTCTATTTATATCTGTATGCTTCCAGATGTGTACATCTATATTCAAAAATATAGATAAAATAGCATGTCCATATATTTATTTAAACTTCGGGGGGCACCTGGGTGGCTCATTTGGTTGAGCATCGCACTCTTGATTTCAGCTCAGGTTGTGATCTCATGGTTTGTGAGAACAAGCCCCATGTCGGGCTCTGTGCTGACAGTGCAGCGCCTACTTGGGACTCTCTCTCTCCCTTTCTTTCTGCCCCTCCCCTGCGCATGCTCTCTCTCTCAAAGTAAAATACATAAGCTTTTGAACTTCTGTAATCTGTGTGGAGCTATATACATATGTAATACATGTGCATCTTACACACATATGTCTTACATATATGTCTCACACACACACACACATCTGACTGGATGATACAATTTTTCAAGATTCACCTGGTAATCGTGACTCTCAGTGAGTGTACGTTGAACATGGGAGGCCCGTGCAGTTACTGTAAATTGCTCTGTGGCACTCAACATGCTTGCAAAGGTGACGCGTCAGTAAGGGAGATACTCTGCGTTCAGTGAGAGTGCTGTGATCAGCATAAATGCTGCCAGGCTTCAGTCCTCGCCCCCTACTCCTAACGTTGATGGGCTGGCCATGGGCTGGGTGTTGCCTAGGCATCCACCCTGTTTACAAGTCATCTTTCTACACAGTTATAGTCTTTCTTCAAGCAGAACATACCTCTTTGGGGAAAAAATGATGAAACGCCGTACAGCGAAACCAGTTAATTCATTGAGAAAATGGTCCTAAACCTTGTGTTTTTTGTCCTAGGATCAAGGCTGTATGTGCTTGAGACCAAGTGGGCACTGGCCTGCCTCTATCTCAAAAGCTTTTTTAGTGAGTCACCAACTATGCATCCTAGCTATCAACTCAAGTAAGAATTGCTTCAAAGTCAAGGACGGGGTGACCCGCCTGTGGGATCGCAGGCACACGTGGGTCGCTTTAATGTTCAAGTGTTATTGTCAACATGTAGATAGAGGACCCTCCTTCTCAACAACAGAAACCATGCAGTGGCAGGCCGTGAGTGGCCTTGGAAATGAGCACTGTGGCTTCTTGGAAGACCAGAATTCATTAAATTCCCTTAAACCACTTTCGCCACACAGAAGTGGGGTAAAAAGAAACAATTCTTAGATGAGAAAAGAAAACTCAAAGATATTTAGATACGTTGATTTACAAGTCAAACATATAACAGAATCTCCTAACGGGACTTCTACATCAAGCCTGCACCTTAAAACAAGCAGTATTTCTAGAATATTTAGATAACCCATGAAACAGCCATGTGTGTAGCTGTGACCCACAGTGCAATCCACCAGGAAGGAGATTTTCTGCAGAAGAGTTTGGGTCTTAGGTTCACCAGCAGCAGGAAACTGATTATTAGAGAGCCTGGCACCTGGGTGGGCCATTTCCTCTCATTGGTAATTCTGACTTTCTGATTCCTAAATATATCTGCTGCTCAAAAGCTAAGCACTTTTACTTTCTTCCATTCCTGTATTTTCTACATTCTCTTTTGTCTGAACTTAGGCCAATTTATCTTAAAAAAAAAAAAAACAAAAAAACAACAAACAACCACACAAAACATTGTCTCGAATGCACTTATTTGTTTAGGATTCACATCCAACCTGCTTCTAGAATCCGTTGAATCAGTCTTTGAATTAAACATGAGGTGACTTTTAAGGGAGTGTGAGCAGGGAGGCTGTGAGCTTAGCTGAGCCAGACTTTGGGCAATTGAATTCAGCTCTTGACAGTTAAGAAGAAACACAGAAGTACATTTGCCTCCAAAAATTCCTCTTATCGGACACAAGGGGCAACCATGCCTTGTCCTAGCCTCCCTGGGGATAATGCAGACCTTCCCCCTCCCCCTCTCCCCCTCCACGTGGTGCATCCCAGTGTGGTACTGAGCTCACCTAGAACATTATCCTGATCGGGTCCCATTTACAGCAAGGCTGGGTCTGCCCTCCATCGTTGAGACAAAGACTATGGGAACCTCCATGTCTGATCGTACTGGTCCCTGACAGCTTTCTCCTTCCTGCCTTGCATACTCACTGAGCAGGGGAAGCTGATCTGTGGCCCATGGGCACATGGCCATTCTGAGACAGTAGAATCCCAAGCACAATCTCACATGGTGCTGGGTATAGGAATAGGCTTCTTACAATTCTCGGTTCCAGTTGAAATAATATGATGCTCCCCGCCATTTACTTTTTTCCAAGGTTAAAAAAAATATGTGAGTTGGATTTGTCCCACCTCTCTGGCACACTTCTGCAAGCTGGTTATCACATTCCCTAACCTGCTTCCTCAAGGTTGGGATGGCCCTTCACGAATGTTAATGACCTCTGGTCCTATTTTCACTTTGTCTTTCTTTTGGAAGATAAAGATAAACATCCATTTGTTACCCTGATTGTTTTCCTTCCCATAATTGATTAGAGGCACTTGCTTTCTGTAGGCATCTGTAGGCATCATCTTTCAGTCGAGATCTTGGAATAACGTACCCTTGACTGTTGGGGGCTATAGTACTGCTTTCGGCACGTTCTACCTTGTGTCAGTCTCTTGATTTAAATGACAGCAGAAAAGTTATTTTACATCTTGATTCCTTCTTGAAAGAATTCCAAAAGCACAACAAAGAACAAAAAAAAATCCTCATCTCTCTCCACTGTAATTTTCCATCTCATACGATTAGTCAATTTTGTGTCTGTTTCATCTGTTAGGGCATCAAGCCTGCTCAGCCCATGTTCCGTGTTCTCCAAGGTTGTTTTTATTTGTTTGTTTGTTTGTTTGGGAATCTCCCTCAGACATGCTTAGGCTTCAGTTTTTCACACTTGCCTTTATCTTGTCTTTAACACTCCCGTGCCCCTGTGCTGTCTGATGTGGGCAGTCTTCCGCGCCCCTCTCTTCACCTTCCATGTGCTCCCTGAGCCTTGGAATGGATAACCATGTGGCTCTTTGAAGTCTTGTTTTGCACTTTCTCTTTGGAATGCTTTCCTTAGTCATAAAAACAGAACAGAACAGAACAAGCCTCTTCCCCACCTGATATACCTTTTTCAATTAACCAGTTTACTGTCGACTGTTCATACTCATTTCTTAAGTCTTCTGATATTTAACTTAGATCCTTCATTATTTTTTCCCCTCAAGGGGTGTCCAGATTAGCAGCCAGTGATCTTCTGCCACCATTGCTAGTAATGGTGTCAGGACAGTTATCTTCCCTTGACATTTCACTTCACATTTAGAGAGGAGAGCCCAAAACTTAGCTCTTTTCAACATCCTCATGGCCAGGCCACCAAACTGACTGAGTTATGGCAAATCAACACCCTGTGGAGATCGGGGTTCTGGCTGATTGAAGAGCAATGGCATTGCTGTGACCGGAGATGCAGGGGTTGTTTTGTGGGGCAGCATGTGATTCAAACTGTTGGTGATCATGCAGCCTCTGCTCTGTACACCTGGTTGGTTCCTCACCACATCTGGTTGGCTCACTGCATTCTGGCTTTGCCCTTTCATACCTCCTGCCTGGTCCAGGCACTGAATGACAAAGGACCCAATCAAGGAAGTGGTTTCCTTCCCTGACTCCAGAACCGTAATCTCCCTATCTCAAGCTTAGCTTCCACACTGATTCCTGAGTGGCCCTTCAACCACAAACATTGGATCAAGGTCAGACTTCATGCAGCGCAAGCCCGTAATGAGTCCCTTGACATTCCGAGTAAAATTCACATTCATGAGGCCCAGGTGGCTTGTGGCTGGCTCCCCAGGTTATGTGTTACCTCTTCCACACACAGTGAGAACGCCAGGCTTTGTCTAGCCATGGTGCTTCAGCACGGTCCACTGCCCTTGCCTGGAAAGTCTTTTTTTCCTCTTCAGTCACTAAAACCCTACAAGTGTCACATGGAACGTCTTCCAGGAAGCCTCACTAAATTCTATTCTTTCATTAAAACTTATATTAGATGTCACCTCCCTTGGGAAAGTTTCCTGCATCTCTTCCCCCCCCCCCCCCGAAGGTAGTAATACACAATTCTCCAGAGAGCTCCATAGTACTTGCTATGGCTCTGTAGTTTCATTTTCTGCTCAGTGCCTAGATTGTGCCCTCTAGCACAGTGTCTATGGAAGGTTATCTCATCAGCAAATGCTTGCTGAACGAATGAAGAGCTTTGTAGCTCAGAAGTCCATGCACTATTACGGCCATGCCCCAGGTTTTCTTAAGCATGTTTCACAAGCACAAAACATATTCAACTCTGGGTCAACACCCAGCATGGCGTTTCTTCTGGACGTGCTTTCTTTATTAGTTACATTTTTACTTCTCCATCAAGAATCAAAACGTTCATAGATTCTCACCACATAAGTAACAATGGTATAAAAACTTTATGTAAAATTTGTTGCAATTTGTATACAGAGTTTCACATGTGACCCTTCCCTTTGGAGAAGCATTTGTAACATTTCTTTTCAAAGTTCTGGAGAAGTTTTCTAAGACACTGTTTCACTAGCAGCATCCCATAGCTTCTTGCAAAGGTGATTTAAGGTTTGCAGTGTTAACAGATACAATTCAAAAAGAAACCACGTTCATCAAAAGAAGACATATGTGTTGAGGTTTTATTTGAATGTATGTTTATCTTCAGAAATATCTTCTGTTGAGCAAGTAGTATGCAGGTATAGTAGTAGTCAGATTATTTAACAGTTTTAATGTTATTTTTTGGTAAATATCTAAGCTTTTTTTTGTCTCTTTAGTAGTCAAATACCATTTAATTTGTTAGCCAATCAAAATATATTCAGATTAGCCATTTCTTTGGTTCTCAGGACTTGTTAAGGTGTTTCTTGAATTTTATTTTTTTCCTTCTCAGGAGGAATGTCAGAACTACATCCGGGTGCTTTTGGTGGGTGGCAACCGGTTATTTACCTGTGGGACCAATGCTTTCACGCCTGTCTGCACCAACCGCTCGGTAGGTCTTCATCTTGAGCCCTGACAGAATTTAAAACTGGGAAAATCCAAACATTCTACTAAAACTGTAGTTTTACATGTGTTTCTGTTCCCTAAGGAGTTATTTTTTTAATTAAAAAAAGTATTTTTCAAACTGAATATTCAATGTATTGATTTATTGCTAATCACATTATCTGTTATACAAAGAGCTGAACACAGCTATAGCTTGTTTAATTAAATTTAAATATGTTTCCAAACCGTTTTTATCAGCTTTTTCACCACCAGTGATCCTGAACACAATTCCTCAACATACTCTTCATTTATCCTGACTTATTATAGAGATAGTGCCAAGTGTATATAAAATGGCCTTAAGATCATAATCCAAAGAAAGAAAATAGAATTTACAAGTTGAATGAGATCAGTGTCAAAAAAAATCAAAGCAAGCAAACAAATGAATGAAGCCCAAGGCAAAGTAAAGTTCCTACCTGGCCTTTTCCTTCTTCTTTTAACCTGTCCTATGGCAGGGAATTCCCGGCATCCATGTCTGATGGACATAGGTCAGAGCACACACAGTCTTCCCAATTCGAGATATTAGTTTGATGCTCCGTGAGGAGCATAATGAAGAAATACCATTATGTTAATTTCCGGTTACACGACTCCTCTCAAAGCCTAAATTTATCATCGGCAATATTTTCAAGCTAGTGTTCAGTTATTGGAAATATAGGGAGGAGGAGGAGGAGAATAGAGAGAGCCCCTCGGTGTCACGCCCTGTTATAAACGCTTTGCACCTGCTTGGTTATTTAACCCTGACATCTACCCTATGTGGCGGTTATCCATTGGGTCCCTGTTGTGTTAGAACTTTTCTCGTTCAATGATTGATTGGGAATCCAGCATTTGAGAAGCTGGGTTCACAGAGGATACCTACAAGACTTGGAGTTGTCTGTCTGAAAACTGACCTAGTAAAGTCTTGGAAATTTGGGCTACGTGGGGCAAAATAGCACGCAGCCTTACCTGTGAGCACGGTTGGGGGCTCTTCAGAACATTTGAATGCACTCATAGTGATACATCTGCACATAATCGTTATTATGGTTTATATTTCTATAAATACTGAAATTGGCTTCATTAAAGTGGAAAGATCTGCAGTGCCCATGCATTGCACGGAGAGCCCATATACAGGAGTCTTAACTTGGTATTTTCTGAATTCAGTGGCACACAGTCCAACCACTCCGAGGGGGGGCAGCAAGGGAGACGATCGGTGGATTCCTTGTCCATGTCCACCACACGACGCTTCCATCAGTGCCAGAGTGCGAACATTTTGAGGTGTCTTATCCTGAGCCCCAGAGAGTGTGGTGCACCGTGCCTTATTTGCAGATCAGGCAGACAGAATCCATTAGCACTCTTAAAGGGCTTTCCTGAAGGATAATTGGTTTCTTCTGTCTTGCCCTTACCCGTAGTTGAGCAACCTGACCGAGATCCATGAACAGATCAGTGGCATGGCCCGCTGTCCCTACAGTCCCCAGCACAATTCCACGGCTCTTCTCACGGCCGGCGGGGAACTCTATGCCGCCACGGCCATGGATTTTCCCGGCCGGGATCCTGCCATTTACCGAAGCCTGGGCATCTTACCTCCTCTCCGCACAGCGCAGTACAACTCCAAGTGGCTCAATGGTGAGTTCTGGGGTCACTGTTGTCCCCACCTCCTGTGGTTACCTGGTGCTTCGGAAGCAAACTGTCACTGCCTCTACAGACAAACGATTTCTTCATTTTCTTTTTTAAATGTTTATTTATTTGTTTTGAGAGGGAGAGAGAAAGAACATGTGGGGGAGTGAGGGAGGGGCAGAGAGTGAGGGAGAGAGAGAATGAATTCCAACAGGCTCCGTGCACTGTCAGCACACAGCCTGACGTGAGGCTTGATCTCATGAACTCTGAGATCGTGACCTGAGCCAAAGTCAAAATCAGAAGCTCAACCAACTGTACCACCCAGATGCCCCAGTTTCTTCATTTTCTAACAAAATCCAAATGTAACTTGTTTTGTACGTCTGTGGGAAGGGCGTTGTATGTGGCTCCGTAGTAGTAGAAGGGAAGAGAGAGGTCACCCCTGTGGACCAGAATAATAGGGCTACTGTTGACATGCCTATTCATGGACCTTAAGCTGCTTTTTATGCTATTGTTTGACGTTCAGAAAATTTGAAGTTGTATCAGAGATACCTGTAGATTCATATGCATTCTTTCTTAACTTATCATGGATCTAAAAAAGGGAAGTTACTAACATTGTATGAAATTTTTGGATACCATCTGGGAGCATGCCTTTGGCTGTAGGTAACTCCAAAGAGCCTGACTGATGTCATAAAAAAGCCAATCAAGTCACACAGCTAGACCATTGGGGTAGACGTCTTCAGAGTTCCTTCCTTCGGTGGCTTGAGAGTCAGTACGTGCCCAGCCTTGTCACTGGTGTCCCTGCCACCCACATTCCGTGTGGTCCTCAAGCTGGCTGTGCTGGGGATGTGCAATCACTCACTGCTCCATTTTCAGGCACTGCATCCAGATATGACGAGACCCAGTGGAAGAAGAGGCCATATTCCTTGTGTCCTTTTTTTTTTTTTTTTAACAAAACCAGAAACCCCTAGAAGACTCTAGAAGACTTCCTTTTAATCCTGGACTAGTACTTGGTCACTTGCTCACTGAGCAGAGAGAAGGTAGTGCCAACCATCAACTCTTGTACGATGTCCTGACATGTGCCCGCTGAAATTCAACCCTCTGTGTGTGTGCGTTGATGTGTGAATGTGACCACACACACACACACACACACACACACACACTGTGTTATGGTGAGATTTGCACACCACCTGTAATCCCTTTCTTTGACAGTTTGTGCAAAGATGAAATCTTGAGATTACCAGTATAATATTTATTCTTTTGAACTTCCAAGTTCTATGATGATTTACTGGCCTTTTGTCAAGTACAAGCTAATTATGGAGACCAGAATTTCTCAACCTCCGTACAATGACATTTTGGAACAGATAATTCTTCGATGTGTGTGTGGCGGGAGGGCTGTCCTGATTATCATAAAGTGGTTAGCAGTATCCCTAGCCGATACCCACCAAGTGCAATGGCATTCCCTCCCCCACCACCTCATTATGACAATAAAAAAAAAAAATTCCAGAAGTTTCCAAATCTCTCTTGGTGGGGTGGTGCCTGTGGTTGAGAATCACTGGCTTAGGCTCATGATTAATGTGTATTTATGTGTCTACGTGTATACAAACAGGACATAAGCATATTTCCAAATAATGTAATCAAACCAACCATCTATTTGCCTTTTAAGGACTCCCTTGTAGAAAAGAGAATGTCCTCATCAATTTTCTCCGGTAATTTGAATGACTCTGTGTGCTTCCAAAGGGCAACATGAGTTGTCTTCGTAAACTGAAGCCGTAACTAGCTTTCCATTAACATTATTTCTGTTGAACTGGTTTCAGTCCCCTTCAGGCCTTGAAGCTTTCATCTGAGGAGCTTAAAGTTCCTCTTTCTATTCATTTGTTGATTTTTACTGGCCAAGCAAAGTTTCCAGTGAAAAATCAAAATTACCTTCCCCCCAACCCAAAGGCACTGTAATTAGAGTTTATCCAAAGCAAAGTAAAAAGTAATCAGGAATACCATCTACCATCACTTTTTCTTTCCCCCAAAAGTGACCCCCTGAAAGAATATCCTGGAAACATAATTCAAGTCATGGCATGAGTTATAAACATTGCCTGTTCTCTTTGCATGTGACTCAGATACCCACTGGCTGATCAGATGTTCCGATTCTGTTAATGTCTGGGTGGAACCCTTTTTGTCTGAAAGTCAGGTGACCCGAGAAGGACAGTAGGGGACCTAACTGTTTACCACAGTCACTGTGGGCATGCTGTCATTTTTTGTTGAACATACTAAGTAATGTTTTGGGTTCCTCAAATGCACTGGTGTATATATATGATACAATCAGACAACTGCAGCAATGGAAAACAAGGGCAGGGTCAACATGGTAGGGCTCTCCCTCAGGCCATCGTATCATCTTAGTTCCCATGGCACAAATGGTCTTCTGCCCTCGGCTCCACCCCCCCCCCCCATCCCGCAAAGGAAGGCACCCACTCTTGGGGCGGAGAGCAAAGAGTTCTTCTCCCTCCTGTTGAGGCCCTGCCTTCTTCTACTTAACCCCAAGATATTGTTTCTACTCCTGGTTGGCCCTCGTTTTCCACTCTGACCTTCCATCCAGGTTAGATTCTGACCTCTAACCCCACGTGGTCCCACATCTGTCCCCCCACTGAGCCTGGATGCAGGGGCATCCATCCTCGCTGACCTGCCTGGTATCCGTGCTTTGCCTCCCATCTTCTGCTTCCATCTTGACCAGACACCCTTATCTCAGTTCTTTTCCGTTGTGTTCTGGAGTGATTTTTTCTTCTTTTGAGATTGTTGCTGTCCCTGGTACGAAACAAGCTGGAAACAGTCAGTGCTGCAGTATCAAGAGAGGTCCTATTTCCGGTTGTGATGTTAGGGACCCGTTCAGTGAAGCTTTATATTCCTCTCCAGAGTTTTCAGCTGATTGAGAACCAAGGCACAGAGTGGACACAGGGAGAGCAGAGCTTTGGATTTACCTTTGCTGCAGCGGAGTGGGTGTGCTGGGGGGCCCCAGAGCTAGTCTGCTCAGGGAAGAATGTGCAGACCGCGACCTGCCCACTCAGGAGGCACAAGCCTGCCTCACAGGGTCGGCGGGCAGCTCCCCCCGCATCCGAGCTTCCGCTTTGGGGAGAAGAGAGATCCCGGGGCCTCTTGGCTGAAGGTGTGGTTTCGTTACACTCACCCATAGAAGTCAAATCACAGGGTCAATGACGTGCAAATCTCAGGCTGTCCCTCCGCTAGCAGCTGCTCACATGTAACAATAGCCAGGGCTCCCTTCTTTGTTTCAGATGCTCTTCAGTTTTCGCTGACATTTGGATTAGGGGCCTGCCATACTCCAATATGACCTCATCTTTTTTTTACAAATAGTTTATGGTCAAATTAGTTTCCGCATAACACTCAGTGCTCATCCCCACAAGTGCCCTCCTCCATGCCCATCCCCCCTTCCCCCCACATCCATCAGTCCTCAGTTTTTGTCAGCATTCAAGAGTCTCTCATGGTTTGCCTCCCTCCCTCTCCCCCACCATTTCCCCCCTTCTTCTCCCCCATGGTCCTCAGTTAAGTTCCTCCT